GGCAAGGACCTGACGCTGGTGTGAGGGCAAGGGGGGACCCTCTCCAGGCCTCGTCCCGGGGGCAGCTGAAGGCGCCAGGGCTGGGATTTGCACCCCCAGCTCGGAGCCCACGCGGGGTCGGGGCTCGCAAAGCTGCTCCTTCCTCCCCCTCCTCCTCCTGCCTTGTGCCTTTTTGCTGCTTTTGCTGAATAAATCACCACTTCTGCTCGAAGCCAAAAGCCTCTGATCCCCTGCCCGGAGCCCCCCCCAGCCAGGACCCTCCCCCTGGTTTTCCAGCTGCGGGAAAGGACGTGGAATGTGTGGGGTGGAGAAGCAGCGAGTGGAGCTGGTCCACCAGGAGACCGACCCTCCCTCCTTCTCCAGCACATCCCAGGCGGTTTGTCTGGCTGGTTGTACCTCCCTGCCCTTCCCCTGCCTCCTTCCCTCCCTCCTCCATCCTCACCCTCACCCCTACACCAGCTGAGCAGGGCTGGCTTTCCCTGGTGTTGGAATCCGAGGGAGGTGATGGAGGAGCAAGTGAGAAGGAACCAGAGGAGTCCCCAGGATGCCTTAAATGTGTGTTTATGTGGATTTTAGGCATCACTCAGCCTGCACAGGGTGGGCTGGGCTGGCACAGAGGGGGTCTGGGGTGCCACTGCTCTGTTCCCTGTATCCTTGGCAGACTCCTCAGCAGGAGAATCCCGCTGGATCCAGGAGACATGAACTCTAAAAATCCTTTTTCCAGTGACCCCCAGAGCTGTGAGCACAGCTCTGCTTCCCACTGCTCGACAGGGGATGAAGAAATCCCCCCCTTTTTTTGTTGTTTTTTTGGTTTTTAAAGAACAGGACAGTCCCTTTTCCCACTTGAGAGCCTCCAGCTCTGCACTGTTCTGCTCTGTGCCCTTTGGAACACGTGGAGCCAGGACCCCCCAGCCCGAGGGGGGGAAGGTTTGGAACAGAACTTTCTTCTTGGGGTTTTTTTTTTTGTGTTTTGTTTTGCTTTTCCTCTTCTTTTTATTATTGTTCTCGTTAAAACCGAACCCAGCAACCCCCTGGCACACAGACAGGAAAAGCTCTCCTTGCAGAATTCCTGCTGGACAGAGCTGGAGCGTGCCCACATTCCAGCCCTTCCACAACCACCTCCAAAACACTGAAAGCAAGGCCTGGTTTGGGGGTTTTTTTTGGCTTTTTTCTGAGACATTTCTGTGACCAAGAGGCAGAGGAAGAAACTGGAAAGGACAAACCCAACCAGCCCCTCTCCCTGGGGCAGGTGCTGTGGAAAGGGACACGAGAGCACCTCCCAAAGGCAGGATTTTCCCACTCAGGGAAGGCCCAGAACCTTCTGGACTCTCTACCTGGGCAGCCCCACAGGTTGGGCAGGTTGTTCCTCGCTCCTTCCCGAGGCTGGAGAGCAGAGCTGGGCTGGGAAAGGCAGCACAGGATGGTCTGGAGGAAATCAGGAGCTGGCTGGAGGATTCTTGGCTTGGGGGGCAACAGTGCTGCAAAAAGAAGGGAGGGAGAGTCACGTCCAGCTGCCCTGAAACGTGAAAAATCAGGGCTCCTCTCCAGTAAAACCCTCCTGGTGTTTGCAGGGGAGCAGCTGGGACAAGGACACCTTTGCCACACCAGCCCCTGGGGGGTGTCAGAGCCACCTCTGCACCCACAGCCCCCCAAAAACCAAATAAAAAGGCTCTGGGAGGCCCAGGGTGCGACCCTGCCGGGTAGGAGCTGGGAAGAGGTGGATCCTGAACCAGGAATCTCGTGGCCTCTCTGCAGGGGCAGAGGGGGCTCTGTTTGCTGGGGTGGTTTGTCAGGGATTTGGGAATTTTCTCCCTCCTACTGCAGTGCCAACCCCGTTCTCAGGAGAGACAAACACACCAGAGTCAGACAATCTGTCACAGGATATTTCAGTAGCTGGAGCTCAACTGCAAACACAGAAATGCATCATCCTCCTGCTGCCACTTATTTCTGAGGGATTCTGCCCCAAAAAAGACAGAAAACCGCCCCAAACCAGCCTCTCCCCACCCCTTGCAGCACCACCTCCCTCCAAACACCCTCGGGGCAGCAAAGACTCCCCACATTCCACACCCAAACCTCCCTCTCCCGAGGGGGGGAAATCAACTCTCTCCCAGGGTTATTTGCAATCCCACCGCCGAGGTAACTGCTCTGGAGCGTCCTCCCTAAAATCTTTAGATCCCCAGGGGCTGCTGCAGGCTCTGGAGGGCCCTTTTCCATGGCTACCTCTTGCCCTGGGCGGCGTGGAGCTGCTCCTTGGTGGCGATGGCGTGCCTGAGGAGGCTGTCGATGCTCTTGAAGTACACGGTGCTGTCAGTCATGTTCTTGATGGCACTGGGAGAGGGGGGGGAAAACAGGGGGATGGAGGCACAGGGAATTGCCATTCCCGAGGGTTTCAAGTCCCACAGTCCCCCCCTCCCTGAGGGAGAGGATTGTTGAGAGGGAATCTCAGTTTTAGCTCCGGATTCGCGGAGAGGTGGGAAGAGCTCAGAGCCCCGGAATTCCTGACAATTCCCGACATTTCCCAGCCCACACCCCCCCTCCTGCTCATCCTGGCTCCCTGGGGGTGGATCCTGCTTTTGGTTTCCCCCCTCCCAGGGCTGCAGGGGCGAGCACAGGTACCTGCAGGCGTATTCCACGGTGTAAATGGCTCCCTGGCTCTGCTCCTCCCAGCTCTGCATGTCCGACTGGAAAAGGGGGATGGCAGGGTCAGGAGGGCACTGCCCAGGGTCAGGAAGGCACTGCCCACAGCCCTGCCAGCCCCTCCCAAAAAGGGCTGCTTCCCACTGGGAATGGGGCTCTCTGAAATCAGGGTTTATGGAGGGTGTTTCTGGAAGGGTCGCCGCAGGAATTCGGATATTCCGGCCGAAATTCCCTGGGTTTGGAGGTGTTTTGGCCAGCTGGGAGTCACCCTGGGGCAGGGGGTGAGCTGAGCACTGAGCCCAACTCCCAGTGTTTGGAGCAGCACCCACCCACAGAGTGTTTGGGATCCCAACTCCTGTGGGATTCAGCCCTTAGTCCTTCCCAAAAAAAAAAAATAAAGAGGGAAAAGCTTTCCCAGCGCTCCAAGTTCAGGTTTCATCAGGTTTCTCAAGATTTGCCACTCCAATGTTTTTCCCAGCCATGAATGTCCCATGAATGCTCCCAAACTCCAGAGGCTGATCCCAAGCAGGAATCTGCACCATCTCCTTCCTTTCCCAACTGGAATGAGCCCTGTAAGCCTCCCACAAACTCGGCTCTGCGCCCGGCCAGGCCTGGCCCGGGATGGAATTCCACCCTCACAGCTCCCAAACCAAGGGAAAACCCAACAAATCCGGGAATGAGGGCTGAACTCGGGGGTGCAGCTCCAGGGATAACGATTCCCAAAGTCCTGGAGGAGTTCCTGGGTGCTCCAGAGGGTGTTCTCAGGGGAGCTCCTTCCCCAGGCCATCCTGCTGGAATAGCACCAGAGGGAATCCAGAGGGAATCCAGAGGCCTCTCCTGAGTGCAGGAGGTCGGGAAGGAGCTTGGACTTCATCCAAACCCCTTCCTTGCTGCTCAAAGCCTGGAATGTGGAGCCCAGAGCCCGGGATACAAAAGGAACAAGCCCCTGCATGCCAGGGGCTCTCTGCAGGAGGGGGTCCTTCTGTGCCAATCCACTGGGAACAGGCCTGGGAGCTGCTCCAGGGCCAGGGATTGTCCTGCAGCTCCTCCCCCTGCTCCTGGGCAGGGAGGGAAACAATTCCCTCCACTTCCCTCTGCCCAGGGCACATTCCCTGAAAACTGGGACCATTCTCACAGAAAGGAAGCAAGTGCCAGCTGAGGGATGAGATCCCAAGCCAATCCCCTTGGAATGTGCCTCATCCCCACCTCCAGAGCCCTCCCACAGCGGCACTTCATAAACCATTGGATACTCCAGTGTCCCAATCCGGGGAAATTTGGGAAGCAGGGCATTTAAAGCCCAGGTGAAGAAGGGGCCCTGACAGTGCATCAGCACGGACAGGAGGCAGGGAGCCATTCCAGAGGCAACATTCCTAGTGAACCCTGGCTGGCAGAGCAGGGCTGGCACTGAAGCGCTCCGGAGGAAAGATGGGATGGGCAGTTCACTATCCCGTGGTTCTCCCTCCCCTCCTCTCCCCCTGCTCCTCAATTTATGTGGGAAGGAAAAACCTCTCCCTGCAGGGCTTGTTTTGCTTCCCCTCCAGCTGCAGGGTCGTGGTTGGGAATCCCAAGTTTTTGGCCTCAGGTGTGTGGATAAGATGGCAACGTTCCCTTTTCCTGTTCCAGGGGGATTCCCTCCCTCCTTCCTGTTCTCCCATGAAAACAGGGAGGGATTTAGATGATTCAGGGATGGAGCAGCTCTGCTGTGAGGAAAAGCTGGGAGAGCTGGGATTGTCCAGCCTGGAGGAGAGAAGCTTTGGGGTGACCTGATTGTGGCCTTCCAGGACCTGGAGGAGCTGACAAGGAACATGGAGAGGGACTTTGGAAAAGGGATGGAATGACAGGATAATGGGGAATGGCTTGGATGGGATATTGGGAAGGAATTCCTCCCTGGCAGGGTGAGGAGGGGCTGGGATGGAATTCCCAGAGAAGCTGTGGCTGCCCCAGCCCTGGAAGTGCCCAAGGCCAGGCTGGAGCAGAGAACCTCCAGGGAAAC